TTGCAAACAATCCTTCTCAAGAGTGTCTGAACGCGCGTGCGTGTGTGTGTGTGTGTGTGTGCGTGTGCGTGCGTGCGTGCGTGCGTGTGTGCGTGCGTGTGTGTGTGTGTGTGTGTGTGTGTGTGTGTGTGTGTGTGTGCGCGCGCGTGTTGGTATACGCATCTGTCCTTGCGTGTGCATTTGAATGTATGTGTATATGTATGTGTATTTTTAATTTGAAAAATAGAAAGTCTTTTTATTATGTCAATCCACAGGAATGGTAGAATATCCTAATAGTGATTTTTCGTTTTGAACGATTTTTATTTTTTACTCCACATCAGCTACATATACGATTTCGCGTATGTATAACTGTATATGTAGCTGATGTGGAGTCTATCTTATATTTTTATGGGTCGAAACGACAAATCACTATTAGGATATTCTACCATCCCTGTGGATTGACATAATAAAAAGATTTCTATTTTTCGATTGAAAAATACACATACATACATATACACACACATTTAAATGCACACGCAAGGGCGGACATATACCAACACGCGCACGCGCGCGCGCGCGCACGCACATACACACACACACACACACACACACCACACACGTTCAGACACTCTTGAGAAGTATTGTTTGCAATCATAATACTTCAATCTTATAAAGCCTCTTAATGTATTTTTGATGCATTCACTATATGATATCTCGAAAACTGTCCATTTTTTAACTTCGTGCCCGTGGATACTTTTGATCAGGATGTCATAAAATCAAACATATCAAAATTTCAGCCGATTTGACCGGGAACCAAAATCCATTGGTTTTGTGCGGAGTCCTTTGCTTTCGTCGTTGCAACTTTATGACACCTAGATTACGAAATATTTTCTATTGTAATTTTACGATAAAATATGTTTTCAATCATCTCTCAGATAACAACGTGTTTGTCTTGTTGCTGACATGTTGCTTGCAATCATAGCATATATTGCTATCAGAATTGTAGCAACTGAGTCCACATTTATTGGCAAGTTGACGTCTTTATATATGACAAGTTTGAATAGCAACTTGCCAGCAACTTGTCGGCAACTTATGTTCTCTGAAACCATTATAGTTATCGAATACGCAACAACATATATTTATAAGTAGCTGTTGCTATTATGTTGCCATAATAATTTGTAGCATCATATAATGCTCTTATATTGCCGACAACATAAAGTAATATTGATGCTATCATCTTGCCAATAATCTGTTGGCAATACATACCTATAATGTTAACTGCGCGCGTGTTGCTTCAACGTCCGTATATTCGAAGTCGTTAAAGACAAACATACGACAAATTGCCAACATCGCATAAGCAAGCATTGTGCGATTTTGCATAGACACGTTAAATTATCTGCTATTATTGTTATTAATAAATTTACAGCAAAAAATTACTTGGACCAGTAATAAAAATTAAATTATTATCAAACTAGATATTTCTTATAGATTTTTGAATGCTAAAAACGATGCCGTAATTAAGCCAAAAAATTCCAGCACGTCAGGTTTTCAAGACAATTATATATAAGGTTTAATGTTAAAAAAATGGCTTTTTTGGCGATATTTCACTATTTTTTGTAAAAAAAGGTTAACGTTATCTTAAAATTCTGATCAAAAGTCATGAATGCATTCAACAAATAATAAGAGAAAAAAGCCAAATTTGACTTTGGAGCCAATAATAAGTTTTCAGTATCATCATCGAATTGAAGATCAATTTAAATATAATACAGGGTGATTTTTTTAACCTGAAACTTTCAAATATCTCGAAAAATAAGCACACTAGGAAAAATGTTTCAGACAAAAGTTGTACAGTTTCGAGGGGATAACATGATAACATTGGTTTGACCCTGAGTGGCGTCGTCAAGGTCAGGACAAGGTCACTTTGAATTTTTTAAATAGAACCCCCAATTTTTATTACGTGTTTTTATAGCACGCCTCGAGAACTTTCCAAAACACATATATAAAATATTTTTTTATGAAATAAATCTTGAGTTATAAAGCTTAAAAGTTGGAGTACTGTCGGCATTAGCAT